TCCAGCCTGTATCATCAAACATTTTTCCAAACTCCTCCCACAAACCAGTTGCAAAGGCTTCTGAACCACATGGTCAGGTTAGTCACAGCAATGACCCCACTTCTCCTCACCACCTGTATTTGATGAAGGATTGCTGCTGTGAATATTCACATTTGTGGTTTCATGGAAGAGGTAGTACCCAGTTCAGGATGGGCAGGTCAGGTCACATGGCAACTTGGAAGTCCTTGGTAGAGCATTCAAGTTTTCACTAAGGCCTAGGGGCAGGCCAAGAGCAGTTTCTCAAAGGAAGGGCAGTTGTATGCAGTTGACATTTTAGACCTTGCTCCAAAATCCCAATGGCACTTAAGGTATCAGCGGCAGATAGAGATGCTCTCTGGAGCCTTTGGCAGCCCCCACAGGTGAATCACAGAGGATGCCATTGGGATTTAAATTCAGCCTCATAGCCCTGCAGTACTTGCATCTCTTAGTAGGAACACACAGGATAGTTAACTTCTCCAAGTCTGTCTCTTTGTCCACCCATTCCACATTCACTGAACACCAAGTGTGTACAGATGCAAAATGAAAAATAATGCTTCAAGGACTAAGGAGAATCTAATCTTCATCCTTTCTCTCCTTTAAGTTCCTAACCAATCCAAAAAGGTTAAGAACCAAGACCAAAACAGACAAGGAACAATAAATCAGTTCTACAAGAAAAGGTTAGAAAAGCAAGACCCATACAGCCCAAAGCCCGTGCAGTGGACTTGCCCCTGGTCATGTCTGCATTCCCATCAGTCTCCATTTTCACTCACTCCAATCAGATTAGTCTATTCTCTTCCCCCAAGGTGGAACTCCTCAAGAGAGGAAAAGATATTCCTGCAAAAACCTTCCCTTCCTGGAGAATGAAGATGTGAGTATTTTAAGGTATATGAAGAAGAGGCACCAAGAAGAATGTGCATAAAACTCCATGCTCAAAGCATATGATCTATGCATGCCCCTTATCATTACCACCCAAGGGACCAAGGTGTGCAATATCATGCCACATGTCCCCGCAAAGCATAGTTTGGAGCAGGGCTAAGGAATCCCACGAACTTTGGTGTAAATTCTGGCTTTCTTCTATTCTAGCTATAGCTTTTGAAGAAATAATAGTGAATTTCTCATGACCTTAACTTCCTCATCAGTCTACCTCATCCAGTATCTCTGTCTAGGTTCCCTAGAACAGTCAAGAAAAAGTTTAGGTCCTTAATGAAAATCATTAAATCCGTTGATGTTTTGGGGCTGGGGTTGTTGCCTAACACGTGTGAGGCCCTGGGTTCGATCATCAGCACCACATAAAAGTAAATAAAATAAAGGTATAAAAAAATTTTTTTTTAAAGTTTATGTTTCAAGAGGCACCACTGATATGAGGTGAAAAGACAACTCGCAGACTAGGAGAGAATTTTTGCAAATCACATAGCTGAAAGGGTCTTACATGGAGAATATTTATATAAAAATATTAGGATTCAATAATAGGAAGACAACACCATTACAAATGGGCAAAGGATCGTGTTATAGTTTGGATACAAGGTGTTCCCCCCAAGAGCTCCCATATTAGGCAATACAGAAATGTTCAGAAGTGAAATGTTAGATTATAAGAGCTGTAACCTCATTAGTGAGTCAGTCCACTTCATGGATTAATCATTTAAATGGACTACTGAGCGGTAACTGTAGGCAGATGGAACACTGTTGAAGGAAGGTCGCTGGGGGCATGCCTTGGACTGAATCTTGGCCCCAGCTCCTGGCTGCCATGAGCAGAGCCGCTTTTCTCCATGCTATCCATGTTTTGCCTCACCTTAGGCAAAAGGCAATGCAGTCAGTCAACCATGGACTGAACCTCTGAAACCATGAACCCAAATAAACTTTTCCTCCTCTAAGTTGTTCTTGTCAGGTATTTTGATCATAGTGATGAAAAGCTAACACACATCTCAGCAGACATTTCACCAAAGGAGATATACAAATGCCAAAAGCACATGAAAAGATGTTCAGCGTCATCAGTGAGGGAATGGGAATCAAAACCACAATGATGTACCACTTTACATATATTAGCATGGCTACAATAAAAAAGACAGACAACATGTGTCCGTCTGGGGGTGTAAAAACTAGAACACTCATATGCTCCTGGTGGGAGTATTAAATGGTGCTGCTACTTGGAAAACCATTCTAGCACTTGCTAAAATGGTTAAACATCTAATACACAACAATTCTACTACTAGGTATATACCCAAGAGAAATAAACATATGTCCAAACAAGTTAGCAGACATGTGCTCAAAGCAGCATAATTCATAATGGCCAAAGGCAAAAAGAACAGTCTCATCAATGGATGGATGGATAGATAGATCTGCACAAAGGAATATTGTTTGGCAATAAAACCAAAATATGCTACAACATGGAGGAACCTTATCATTTTTCCATATGTTGATGCAAAGATAAGAAATAATAACCAAAATTTTCGAGCATTTCCATGTGCGAATCCCTGTACTTGCATTCATTTGCTTCATCCTTGGAGATTACCGACATTATTGTCCTCATTTCCCCTTTGAGACATGCGTATACACCAGGTTGTCATACAGCAAGTAGGTGGAAGAGGCAAGTTCAAATGCACGTAGTCTTCCACCGTCTCTCTATTACTCTTTCCTACTCCTGGAAGTAGGTTAGACTCAAAGTGAAAGTTTCCAAGGAAAAGTTGCAATTGTTTAATGGAACAGACAACAGTGTCTCCCTCCCAGTCCTCTGCAGCCCCAGGACATGCAACAGCTCTAACTGTTCCCAGAAACTGTGCACCTTCAGCTTCTAGGAATGTGCAGGCTGACCACACCAGTGATGCAGTTGAGGAGATGCAGAAGCCACAATCTGCAACAGGGCAGGAGATGAGCATCGAGGGGGCAAGTATGCTTCTGGCAAGCTCAGGTGGAGAGAACCTGAAAATTCAAAAGTCAGGCTTAAAATTACATTTCAGATCAGCTACCCAAGAAATGATTTAAGCAAAAAGCAGGTCCAAAACCAGGCAGATTTTTCTAGATTCTGGCCAAGGATAGAGGTCAAGTATCTAAACTGAGTTAAAGAGTGTCTGCACACAATCCCTCTCCTCCCAGGCCCTCTAAAGTCCACTCAAATCTTTGTCCTCCCACTACCCCTGAAAATGCTCGTCAGGATCGTGATGACCCCCGCATGACAAGGACAGTGGTCAGTTTTAGCTTCCATCCTACTTCTCAGCCACATTCAGCCTTGCTGTTCACCATCTCCTCTTAACACACTTTCTTCACTTTACCCCATGACACCACATCCTTAGTTTTTGCCTTATTGGTTCTTCCTCATCAGTGTCTCCTATGGCTTGGATATGGTTTGGGTATGTCCCCTAAGGGTTCATGTGTTAAAACGTAAGCCCCCATCACCAGATGCAGGTTGTAACCTCAGAACTGTGAGCTAAATCAATCTCTTTTCTTTATACAGTTACCCAGCCTCAGGTATTTCATTAGAGTAGCACAAATGGACTATTACAGTGCCCTCTATTAATTTTTCTCTTCTTCCTAATCTTCTAGAGAACTCAGTCCTGGATCTTCTTCTCCTCTTGGCACATATTTAGTGCATTTCCAGTTACCAGTTTATTTCCTCTCTGCTCCAAAGCTACCCCTCCTTACCTTCTCTGTGATAACTAAGCTGGCCTCTGGAAACAGTTTCCCTGCATAGCTGACATGATATTGAGTTTTGCTGATAAAAACACACCTCAATCATTACTTACTAGGTCTGATTTCTAAGTAGAATAAAAACTACCAGCTTTCCTGAATCTAACTGTATCCTGAGCAAGTCACATAGGGGACTGTTTCCTCAACTAAATAATGGAGCCATCCTTCCTAAGTATTCATTTGTTTTACTTTTCAGTGCTGGGGATGAAACCCAGGGTACTGCACACACTAGGGAAGTGCTCTACCACTGAGCTATACCCCAGCCCCATCCTAGAAATTCTGAGGATGAGATGGAAGACTGGACGTGTGAGGACCTAGGCAACTTATGCAGGTGCTATCAACTGCTGGATCTGAGTTCCAATTCCAGGTGTGATGCTCTCCAGCTGGGAGACCCTGAATAAGCAGTCCTACCTTTCTGGGAGCTCCCAGATTCTTTCCTGTCATACTTAGATAAAACCACCCTGAAGAATAATGACAAGAATAAAAAAATTCTAAAATATTTTTTTTAAACTCAAAAAGTTAGGCAAAGAAATTACCATAATACCAAGCAACCTTGCTCCTTGGCATTTAACCAAGAGTTGAAAATAGTGTCTGAACACTTGTACATGAATGTTCATGGCAGCAATACTCACAGCAGCCAACAGGACAGACAGCCCAACGTCTACCAAAGGATGACAATACACAAAGCTGCAGTTCACACACATGCCGTGCAATAAGGTCCTCAGAGGAGCTACCACGGAGGGCAGTGGAAAGGAACTGCTGAAAGGCCCCGGGGTTTTATTTTGGAGATGAATATAGTTGGGGCCTACAGGCAGCAGCTGTACAACCTGTGGGTGTGTGAATGCCACTGGATTGCTCACCTTGACTTTAATTTAATAAGTTTGGGTAATTTTATGAGAATTTCACTTCATTAAAAAGAAGAAAACACAGAGTACGGGCCTTTACCCACAGCAGCTGTCTGTGACAGGGCCTCTGGGCTCAGTCCTGGCACTTACTGGCAACAATGGTTATCGTCTCTCTGGACCAATTTCCTCATCTGCAAAATGACTACATTGGATTACACCATGAGTTCCCAACCAGGTGGGCCCGAGTCAGTCACCTGAAGAGCCACTACTAGAGGCACAAGGCCATGCCCCCACCCTCCGAGTCAGATGTGCCCAAGACAGACAGCTACTGTGTGGAGAAAACCACTCGCCCCCTTTGAGAACAGCAGATAAAAGCCCTCAGGCAGCCTGTGATTCCAGCCCACCGTCTATGACAACTGCACGTGACGCTCAGTTTGGTTCAAGAAGACAACACAGTAAATGAAGTGCATTTATTAGGAGAAAATACTCCAAAGACTCACCAGTAGTTCTCTTGCACACTTAGCCCTAGGCTAGGGCACACTTGACAACTGTACAAGCAAAGGACACCATGATAGAGTCCAGGGGATTTTGCTGACACCACAAAAGTAGTTTTAAGGCAGTTTAATTCAAGGTCACAAAAACTACATCTATGACATAAAACAATAAGTGACATTCAAAAATAACTCAGCCCTCAAAATGACCCAATACCAAGAAATCACTGATCTAGTGGAGGCAGCAGCCTCTGTCAGGAACAGACGAGTGACTCAAGAGCAATCCAGCACAACACTGACACAGGCGGGCATTCAGAGACCACCTCGTGCAGTCAGCACAGACTGGCAGTGCTACTTGCAGGCCCCAACCACATGTTATTTCACATAAACATATTACACTGTCCAGGGAGAGGGAGAGCAAATGAACGTTAGGTGAGAGAAAACCAGGACTCGCTATCTCGTACCACACACAGGGTTACAGAAAACACAGGGCCAGACACGGTCACACTGAGACAGGTTAGTGACTTTTATGGCAGGCCCCTCCCAGGCACTGAAGATGAAGCTTAAAAATACGCTGGGGTGAGCTCCGTCTTTCCTTCTGTGGTCACCACCTGGATTAGACTTCCTGAGCTGGGTCGGTTTTTCCCTGTGATCCAGTCATGGAAGGTTCTAGAACAAAGAAGAAAAGCTTTACATTTTCAAAACGAAAGTCTGGGCCTGCTCATGTTCACATCAGTGGCTGCAGGGAGGGTGATATACAGCAGCAGCTGTGAAAGGGCCCCAGGGAGTTCAGTCTCTGGTTCATTCTAACTTCTGAGTGACAATATTTGATGTGACCTTAACATTCATTTTTTGTATTTTTCTGCACTGTTGAAATTCTTTATAAGGGTGATGTTATCTTAAGTGATTAAAAAGGACTTTAGTTAATTTAAGAGAAAGACACATGTACAACAGAGGTATCCTCAGTATCTGCAGGGAACTAGTTCCAGGATTCCTGAGGATACCAAAATCCGAAGAGGCTCAAGCCCTTCATATAAAATGACACAGTATTTGCATGTAACCTACACACATCCTCCCAGGCACTTCAGATCATCTCTAGACACCTAACACAATATAAATCCATGTAAACAGTAGTTACACCAAATGGTCAGGGAATAAAGACAATTTTAAAAATCTGCACGTGTTCAGCACAGAAGCAAATATTCCTCCAATATTTTCAACCCAAGGTTGGTTGATTCCAAGTATGCAGAAGCCACAGATATGGAGGGAACCAATTGAATCTTACACCTTGGAAATTAATTCTATTTTTTTAAGCAAATATCGTGAAGCACACCCACAGCTGTGCCAAGCAATGAAAAAAGAGATACAAAATCCAGACTATTACAATAAAACGCTGAGAGCCGCAACAAGAGCAGGCAACAACTGCACTGGGGAGAGGGGCACCTGAGCCTGCTGTGGCAGCCAGGAGGAACCTCTCTGGAGACACAACTGCAAGAATTCTATGAATTCACAGGGAATAGCCACAACTAGGTGACATTTTTAAAAACAAAACATTGACACTAGAGTACAGCATCCACTTTGACGGCTCGCCAGCTGGTCCTCCAGACCTCCTTAGAAAGCACTCAAAGGTTCTAGGGACACTCTCGTGCCAACCTATAACCTTCTAGAGTAGATCTGGTGGTCAGCTATAGGTCATCCGAGCTCCTTCTCTGAGGGCTGAATGAGCCAAGAGAAGTCCAGGCTCAGAAATCGGAGGCTGCAAAACTCCCTAAAAACTACAACGTTGTGGTCCTCTGTCCTGGAGCAGGCAGAGCACGGCCCCGCTGGGGAAGACCGGTCACACTGGAGGTGTAGAGGTTCCCGTGTTCATTGTACATGTCTCTGATTGTCTGTCTTCTTAATTTGGAGTGGATGAGAGAGAACCTTACCATGGATGCTAAGGAAGCAATGTGCTCACAGACATTTCAAAGCAAATTTCACACCAGCTCATCCAGCGAGTTTTCAAAGACTGTAAATGGCTAAATATGATTTCTAGACCAAGTTTGCCTGAGACAGCCCGTCCTCTGGGGTCTGTGGCTCGCACAAATTCACACATGGGAGCCCATATATTCCATCTAGAGTCAGGGTCCTAGATCAATGTCTCTCTCAAGTGCTGTTGGGAGCACTGGCTTTGAAAAAAAAAAAAATCAGCGGGGAATACAGCTCAGTGGTAGAGCACCCATTTAGCAGGTCTGAGGCCCTACGTTTGATCCCCAGCACTGTCAAAAAAAGGAATTCAAATGCAATCATAATTCAAAGCTTGATCTGTTCCGCTACTTTGAACTTTTTTCTCTTTATAAACAAAGCATTAAGCATGATTCCCAGCACAGGCAGAAACAACTGTCAACATACCATTTATTAAGACTACAGGTTTGGAGGCCACACTGCCTGGGTCTGATTTCTGGCTCTGTTCTGTGACCTCAGGCAAGTTACTCACCCCCACAATGTCCCCAAGTCCCCAAGCTTTAAGTGAAGAAAGAGTCTGCCTTGAGCGTTAAGTAATTGCAATGCAGTGTTCAGAGGGCCGCTTGGCACGTAACCAGTGCAGTGTAGGTACTTGTTGCAAACATAAAATGCAAACCCCAAACATATCCCCATTTAATTTAAATGAGCCTGAAACATTAGGCCAGAAGCACCTCCACACTATGCAAACATCCCTAGAACCACCGGAGCATCTAATACGCCAGCTCTGCTGGGCGAGGTCTCGGCCTCCACCCGCTGGGCCCACCGGCTCCATGAGAGGGGATTACAACCCCCTGCGCCCAGGGCTGAGCGCGGTACCTGACCCCAGTTAGGGCTCAGTGAATACAGGATTATGAAACAGAGGGGTCTGAGAAACTGAGATGGAAAAAGCAAGAAGAGCAAATCAACCCTTTCTCTAGTGAGCTCTCAAATGCCGCATGTTCACACAAACAGGTGGACAGATTTCAGCTTTCTGCAGGTCTATGGCTTGACAGATGGAGAACATGATCCCAGACCTTTTACCCAGAGTCTCACTACTACACAGGGGTCCCTGGTCACATCGGCAATGACAGTACAGGAGCTAAGGTTTACTTGCTAAGGGTCCAACACTGTGCCAGGGGCTCAGCACACACCACCACGTTTCATCCTCTGAACCATCAACATGGGCCTCGCCACACAGCCAGACAAACTGAGGCCCAGAGCATTAACTCACATTTTCAGCTTAGTGGAAGGTGGCTGGGGGATCAGGATTCACTATAAACCCCTCCACTATGGCTCAGCTCCCAACCCACCTACCCTGAGATTTGGACTGAAGTGTCACATATCCCCAGAGGCCCAGTGACCTCCCAAGGCCACCCTTGGATTACTGATGAACTGACAGAGCATGGGCTTATCCTTTAGCACATAAAAGGCAGAGACTGGGGGCTGGGGGCTGCTGAGTTAGTGCCATCTCTGAAATACTCACTCGACTAGGAATTCTAAGGGTGTCCAGGAGCTGAAGTCAGCCTCCGGCATTGATTTCCTGTTCATCGGTGTATCCAGGGTGACCCTGTAACACAGAAAGAGAGATAAGCGTGTCATTTATGCATCACCTTTATAGCAGGTTCCCAGGCCTCCTGGGCAGGAAAAGGCAAACATGCACCATTACCACCCCGAGCCTCTGGCACCAGCAGACGTCCATGCGAGAAATCAGACAGGAGGATGATCAGAGAGACCAGGAAGCTGTCCATACTAACAAAAGTCACACCTGAGCGTAACTCTGTCAAGCTGTCTGCCACTCACCTTGAGGCAGACAAGATCAAAATGGGAAGAACCATATTCTGCCTTCCTTTTAAAGATGGTCCTTATGGGAGTGAATTGCTTTGTGAAGTCTCCACACGCTCCCTGAAGGGAAGCAGACTCATTTCCAAGGATTCAAGTGGAATGACATTCCTTCAAACATGAGAATACTAAAATATTAAAGTATAAGTCTACTCTTCATGAAATCTTTGGATTTTTTTGGCCTCAGGAATCATTCAAAATAGCTGCCAGATGTTCACAGAGTCGTAAAACCTCACAACTGAGAGGGAACTGGAAAGGTGGTCCCTGGGCAGCCTCAGGGTCCCTTCCTAGGATCACAAGAGAAGCAGGCCAGTTGGTGCTAGAATCCCTGCAGGGAGAAGGAACACGCCACCACCAAGGCCGCTGCCACCACATGGGACACTGACTGGGGACCTCCTTCCTGATCACAGCCCATAGCTGCCACATTCTCTCATAAACCCTCCTTCACTTTGCCACCCATGCATGGCCCCCAACATACACACACACACACACTCTCTCTCTCTCTCTCTCTCACACACGCTGACCTCCTAACCACATGAACAATGGGGCTACATATGGTAAAACAGAACGTGTAAACTACTTGTAAAGGAAGCGGGACGCAGGGAAAAATGGGGGGGAAATGAAACCAAGAAAAGAAGAGGACAGACCTGTCCCACCAGCTAATCAACCACTCTGGACACCTGATCTAATCCAACAGCTGAAGATGCACTGCTACAGGCTGAATGCCACCCCCTGCCTACTGCCACCCAGCCCTGGTTCACAGGTTGAAATACCATCTGCAGGTGGTATTAGGAGACGGGCCCGTCAGTATTGGTGTGTATGGTAAAGAAAGAGAATAAATCCGTGCAGTAGGTGAGAAACTGTAACAATTGAGGCCAGAAGAAAACAAAAAAACAGCAGTGCACTTGGCTTAGCCGAAATAATAGCTTAACTAAATGCTCTGGTGACACTTAGTTGGGTATAGAGAGTGGGAGAAGGGAAAGGGGACCATGGGATAGGGGTGAGTCCAACGAAGTTTTTAAGAAGCTTACTCTTCATTTACCTCAAAAGTTGGTAAGTGATAAACAATTGATAGATCTGGGGTGGGGGTGGGGGGAGACGATCAGGTCATGAGAGCTCCCTCAACATGTATGGGATTAGAGGCTTGAGGGAGCCCTGTTGTCCTTCCACCATGTGACCTCACAGAGAATACAGCATCTATGAGAAATAAGCTCTCACCAGACATCAAACCGGCAGGCAGCTTGAGTCTGGTCTTCCCAGCCTCCGGAACTGTGAGCAATAAACTTCTGTTACTTATAAATCACCCAGCCTAAGATACTTTGTTATAGCAGCAGGAACAGACCAAGACAAGGGTCTCTGGTGAATTTTGGAATCTGAGATGATGAACACACAAGTCCCTGGCAGAAAGCAACTCTGAGACAACCATCAGCTCCTGGCACTGGACAGAGGTGGGCAGAAGTGAATGGCATCCAGGAAACCCCCAAGCACTTACGGAAGCACGGCGATGGCAGCAGCCCCAGGTGGCATGCCGCTATTCTTGCCCGCGAGGCTCTGGCAGAGCTGATGGACAGCACCCTTGGCCATGCCGTAGCCAATCATTCCTGGGAAATGGGGAGAAAAAACGTCTCAGTTACCTCTGGCTTCCAGAGTGACCACAGGAACATGTGATCTCCTTTGTACATCTTTGTTTCCTTAAAATTTTATCAATAGCCGCATCTGGCCGCCTCCTTCAGGCAGGGCACCTCACCCACACACTCACACTGAAAACAGACAGCGAGCAAAGAGAAAGAGGGGACAGGGTCAGGCAGGCAGGGGCTGTAGCCTCTGGCCGGGTTCCAGGAACACAGGTTCCTAGAGACCCCCAGGTGTCACTGCCAATTCTTCTTCCCCAGCTGTAATAAAAAGCAGAAGGAAGGGTCCTGGACCTAGAATTCTAAAAGTGGGGCTCTCACTCCTGTTTTACCAACAACTACAAAATCACAGACCCCTTGGGCCTGTTTTTCCATCCGTAAATGGAAGTGGCAACTCAGATCTCAATTTATTCACAAGGCTGAGGATCAAAGGAGACCATATCCACAAAAGGCCTCAGGAACCAGAGGGCACATGGGGCCAGGGACTGCCCATCTAACGGTGGTGGGGAGCGCAACTTCGTGAGGGGGCATCAGCTACCCCCTTGCCTGGGAGATGCTCTGCTGGGGGCCGGGGCAGACAGGACGCCCTCCAGGCCAGCTCTCCATTACTCATATCGTCCTGCAGGCATGCATTGGAAGGTATCTACAGCCTGTCTCCTCACCAGAGATGGGAACAGCAGCCTGCACTCCTTCTGCACGACTGTCAATTCTGGTCTCAACATTATTTCTTTAGTGTCACTGGGCCCACCTGCCATCACTCCACTGCCTACAAAGCCAGAGCCTGGGAAGCAGCTGCCAGGGGCTGCCACTCCCAGACACGGAAACCCCTCTGAACCCATCCCATTACCAAGCCTCTTCTATGTGTGAATTCACAGATCCAGTGTTAGGAACACAAAGAAACTCCCGGCTCCGAGGAGGAGTCCCACAGCCCACGGAAAAGAACCTAGGTCAGAGCTTGGGACCCAGGCGTGGTTCCTCACCACTGAGACTCAGGCGAGTGTCAGCGGCCCCTTCAGCCTCCAGTTCATCCCCACCAAATGCAATACTAATGCCCACGTCACTAGGCACTTACACAAAAAGTCATCTTACATCTCAAGCAGGTTTCTTCACTCCCAGAGCTCCCAAGGGAGGGATCTTAACTATTTAACAGTGTAGCCCCAATCCAAAGAGTGGCATTCAATAAGGACTGAAATCCTTGTAATCAGAAAAGGGCAACAGGTGAGGGTGGAGAACAGGGCTTAATCAAGGGACCGGTCCTCAAAAAAGTGTGTGAAGTCGAAGCTCTGCCTGGGAGCTCTGCTTCATTAAAACTGTGCAAACGCTTCCCACTACCCTTAGATTCTCAGTATTCCAGACAAACTAACTTTGAAAGAACAATCTATGAGAAAGTGAAAAAAAGCAAGGCACAAAAATGCCTCTATAAAGCCATGGAACTATTGTTTTAAACATGTGAATGCACCTGGCGTTGTGTGGGTGCACACAGAATACGCACAGGATGCTTCCAGAAGGGTACAGGAGAGGCGTGACTGGCAGAGCCGGGGAGGGAGAGCAGCAGGACCAGAGGCTGCATGGGAGGGACTCTTCCTGCTCACTGTACTTCTTTTAGCTCCATGTGGACGTTTGCTACATGCATTGGTTAGTTTTCCAATTAAAAAGCTGATTAATAAAATTGTTTAAATAAAAACTAAAGCAACTTCTCATCTTTCCCCTTAAGTTCTACATATTTTACTGCGTAATTGTCACAGATTTTATGCCAAAATCTTTGGCAAAAAAGTGGTGCATCCACAATGTGAAGCTTTAAAAGAAAAATTGTGCCAGTATTACTCAAAAATCATTTATTACTAAACTACCTTTGGTGCAAGTAGGATGCACAGGACCCTTGTGAACATAATTAATGCAGCAGCGATGATTATGTGGTTCTTTTCAAATTCCTAGATCCTGATCAAATCAGCTCCCTCCACAAAACCTCCCAGAGCTGGGGTCCCCCTTCCCCTTTGCTCTCCCCAGAGCATTTTGCTTAGACCTCAACTGGGCACAATGTCCCATGCTCACCACCAGCACCCCTGAACCATCCCAAGCACTCAATACAATGACCAAGTCAATGGATCCATGCAGTATCCACACCGATCTGCTACTTACTAGCTCACTCACTACTTCCTGGCTGAGTGGTCTTAGACAAGTCACCTAGCATCACTGAACTTTGGTTTTCTTGCCTACATGCAAGGGGTAACAATTGCACCTACTTTAGAGGTACCTCTGCAGACAGAGTGACATCAAGCACATACAGAACTTGACCCAATAAACCTAACACTGCAAGACAGATGCCTAAAAAAATTAGACGTTTTTTTCCAAACAAATTTACTGAGATGAACTGATGTACCATAGGCTGTACAATGTGAGAGGCACACCGCCTGAGCCAATTTGACCAATGTATCATGCTACCTTTAAGTCTCTCTTCCCTCCCACTATTTAATGAGGTTTGCTGCCTGAAGCAAGAGATACCTTTTATTAGGGGAGGTGTGTTTGCCCCACAAACATGTGGCAGAAATAGGGTGTCCCTCCTCTCTGTGCTCCCCACTGCACCCAACTGCAGCTGCTCACTGGATCCTGTCACAGCAACAGTGAGCACGGGTGATCCCATCACACCTCCCCCTTCAGAAAGCTACCATTCCTTCCAGACCTCAGGAGCCTCCCTAAAAAACCCCAGCACCGCGTGTACTGCTAATGCCACCATTCAGGGGCAGCCAGGCCCAGGGGGAGGGACACCACAGCCCAGCCAGGAACCAACCACCAACCAGCCTCCACAATCACCAAGAATTGCAAAAGAGGGTCAAGGTCTCAAAAAGTACTCAGAAGCACAAGGAGAGTGTTTCACCATCCTGCGCTTCTCTATTTAATCAGGGATCAGGAAGCCAACAGTGAATTAAAAACATGACAAACTCAGCAAAGTCCCAAGAGAGGGGATCTGGGGAAGGGAAGAAAGCAACAAGCAACCCTAATGGCTGAGCCCTACAGAACACCACCTTTGGCACACAAAGTGGGTAAGAGCTCATTTGCGAAATCCAAAACAAAAGTACACCTCACAAAGAAGAAAAACACTGTCTTCCAAATTATACAATGATCAGTGTAATTCCTACAAAGACTCTAATCACTGCACAGTGATCCATCATTTTAGTAGATTTATCCTCTAATAAACAGCCCTCAAATACAAGCCTGGAAAGAGGGAGAACATTTACTCAGTGGGACATTTACTCAGTATCTCTCCAAAAGAAAAAAAAAATTATGTCTGAACAAATCTTCTTGGGTTTAAGGGGCTATTAAGCTTGATTCATCATTTATTTTCAAAGTATAAATAGATTTCCCCAATCTTTTTTTATATTTATTTATTTTTTAGTTTTATGTGGACACAACATCTTTATTTTACATTTATGTGGTGCTGAGGATTGAACCCAGAGCCCCGCGCATGTTAGGAGAGAGCTCTACCACTGAGCCACAAAACCCAGCCCCACCAATCTTTTTTTTTGGCAGGGAGATATCTGAACAAAGTTGAAAGACATCATGACTCTCCAGGCATGGACACCTATGACTGTAAGACCCGCTACTTGGGAGACTGAAGCAGGAGATCATAAGTTCAAGGCCAACTTGGGCAACTTAGTAAGACTCTCTCTGAAAATAAAAAGAAAAATTAAAAAGGGCTGGGGACATAGCTTAACTTGCCTAGCATGAATGAGGCCTTCAGTTCCATCCACAGTACAATAACAACAAAAAGATCTCATGCCTCAAATAAGCTTAACATCTAACCTAAGAGTTTAGAGATAAATTTATGACTGTTGTAAGCAGCAGTCATTGGGCAAAAGTAAGCCTGGAGCATGCACTAAGAGTTCATTCACACTGTTATGGACTTGCTGCAATACCCTCCGAGCCATTTACCTCTGTCAAGACGTACACAAGTCACAACCACCACATACAGGAGAATCATTACTTATCTTCATTTTACAGATAACAAACAAGGCTCAAAGTGGTCAAGGAACTTGTCAAATATGTAATGGTGAGTAAGCGTGAGAGTCACCATAGAAGACCAGTGTAGACACTTTCAGGGCTTACAGGCACATAAAGAAGGATACAGATGCTTCTCAATTTATGATGGGCCACATCCTGATAAACCCATGGACAGCTGAACAGCAAGTTGAAAACGCATCTAGCAAAGAGCATGGCTCAGCCTCACCTGCCTTAAACATGTTCAAATATTTCCATGAGCTGTAATCAGGCAAAATCATCTAACAAAGAGCTTATCTCATGTAAGTTGTTGAATACTGTACTGAAAGTGAACACCTGAATAACAGGTATGCCTTCTCATACTGCAAAGTCAAAAAATTGGAAAATTGAATTACTATTGAAAGTCGGGGACGATCTGAACTTAGAAACCAAAGGAAAAGAGAGAGGACTGCTTTGTCCTTTAGAAAAATTAAGTCTTTCAGTCCTAGGGTTTTGTTTCTAAATGTCAAACTATTATTCATTTCTGTATTTACTTTTTAGTACCTCTGGCCTATGTCACATTTAATAAAATCAGACCTCAACCAAACATCTAACATCTACACAGATTTAATTATAACAACAGCCATGGACTTGTACAATCATATGCTCTGGGAAATGTAATAAGAAAATGAGTGGCAAGAAATCGCTACTTAAGCCTGGTGGCACACTCCCAGCAGCTCAGGAGGCTGAGGCAGGAGGATCATGAGTTCAAAGCCAGCCTTAGCAAAAGCAAGGCACTAAACAACTCAGTGAGACCCTGTCTCTATTTTAAAAAACAAAATAGGACTGGGGATGTGGCTCCGTGGTCAAGTGCCCCTGAGTTCAATCCCTGGTACCAAAATAAGAAAAAGGAAGAAGAAAAAGAAATCACTAATTAACAAGGGCCTCATTGTTCAGTGAGTTACATTAAAATTGAGAAGGTGCCCCAGGTCTCCATTATTAGATCCAAAAAAGTTCCCTTTAAAAAAAAAACAACAACCAGGAGTTTAGGGGACACTTTCTTCCCCTCTGTGCACTTTAGCCTGTTCCAAGGGGAGTGCATCCCCCAAGTTTACTTGAGGTCCTAATCAGCAGTCCTCCCCCAAGAATGTGACTATATTTGGAAAGAGTCATTAAGAAAGTGATCAAAGTGAGGTCATTAGGGTGGGAACTCAGACCAACATGATCCTCCTAAGGAGAGGAAATTAGCACAAACTTATGGAAGACGGTGAGGACACAGGTAAAAGGCAGCCACCTGTAAGCCAAGGAAAGGCCTCAGGAGAAACCAACATCTTGACTGCAGACTTCCAACTCGAGAAAGGCAAGAAAATGAATTTCTATTGTTTAAGCCACCCAGTGTGTGGCAGTCCCAGCAAATGAATACAGGAAACAACAAAGGCAAAGGACGCTGGGGTCTGCACAATGGAATGGAAACAGCACACAATTCAGAAAGGGTCAGAGTTTTTGTTCAAAGCAAGTTTGCATCTCTACTGTATAAACCTAGACTTAACTCCCGAACTTATATATTCAAACAGCAAACAGTGATACCTACCCCAAGATTAAATGAGAATATATCTGAAAGGCAAAGAGTGAATATAATAAGATCTACCATTTGATGTGTACCTAGTAAGACCTTCCGTATACTGGTCTCACCCCATGCTGGACACTATCCACCCTTCAACAGCTCTACAGCTTTACAGTGACTCTTCAAGTTGGGTATTATTGTCACTGTTGTACAATTAGGGAAACAACAACAGAAATTTGGTCAGAGAAAACAGAATGGGGCATCTACTCCTAGCCTCTCATTCCAGAGTCCTCACCACTTCCAGCTGCCAAGCTCCTTCTCTGGGATGAGTGACCACGTGCAATGATAATAAAACCTATTTATCAACCAGCGAATACCCACCACACCATTCACTCCTGGGTGGACCACACCTAAATGGACCAGATAGGGGTGCCAGACTAGTATTCCTTAGTCAGTGTGACATGAGGACAAATGCAAATGAAAAGATCAGGACCCCTCCCACTACAGAGTCAGGAATAAAAGGAAGTAAAATCCATCCAACCTTAAAGCACCTGAGAGCATAAAGGGCTTTAGTAGTCCTCATTCCATGAAGTGCTCAGCAGCCCCAACATGCAATGCCAACATTCCCATTTCACAGCTGGAAAATAAAGGCTTACCGGGAGTCCCATCCAGGGCAGCCTTGGCACCAGCCAAGGTCAAGAGGCCTCCTTCTTTGAGGTGCTTGGTGGCTAGATGACTGGAGATGGTGGATGTCCACATGCTCTGCTTCCACATCAGGTCACAGTTTTTAAAGAGAGCTAAGCAGAAAAACATGTGGGCTCAGTTTCTCAGAGAAGAAAATCAAAGGAGAGCTCAACACATCAAGCCCTAACTCAAGGAGTCCCTACAGCCCCCTGGTCCCCTGCCTGCAGGGTCTAATACCAACAGCACAGGGCTGGGTAGTCAGAGAGGCAGGCACAGGCTCAAACCCGGGCATGTGACCACCAAGTCTCAGCTTCCTCACCTGCTAACCAGGAAAATTTTAGCCATTAAATTTTAGCAAGTTGGGGCTGGGGATGTGGCTCAAGCAATAGCACGCTCGCCTGGCATGCGTGCAGCCGGGGTTCGATCCTCAGCACCACATACAAACAAAGATGTTGTGTCTGCCGAAAACTAAAAAATAAATGTTAAAAATTCTCTCTCTCTCCCTCTGTCTCTCACTCTCTCTTTATAAAAAAAAAAAAAAAAAAAAAAATTTAGCAAGTAAATCTGGAGTCACCAAACTGCCACACTGGCATTAATTCATAGATTATTTTATTTTACAAAAGGCATTAGATTTAAAACAAGAACCTATATGACTATGCGGGCTTTTATCCATGATGAAAATCCGAGGGATGTTACCATACGGCCATAAAGAGGGCTTTGGCAGAGCTACATTGTTTGTGGCTGAAAGGTTACTGTCAGCTAAAGCTCCCAAAGGGAACTGAAATGACAACCCTGTCACACATGTTTTAGCCTCCTGCCAGATAGGCAGGAGGGACAAGTGGTAACGTGTCACCCCACCAAGGGGCGACTAACAGGACACATGGAACCCCATGATCCAGAAAGAATGCCCTCCTCATAGAGGGATCGGCAGGCGCAAACCAGGGGTTGCATTTTCCTACTAAAAAACACTAGGAAAAAATGTGCTGGACCCATATTTATCATTTCTTGCTTCCAAAATACACCCAAGGTCATCAGGCTATGTTGCCAACCTAACTATCCCACAAAACACAAAATCTCACATTTAAATGTGGCTCACAGAATTTCAATTCCTCTTTAAATGACTTTAGCTAATACGTTTAAAAGGGATGTTAAAATTAGTAAACTACCACTTTCCAGTTGCCAGCATATGGCTTTAGGCAGGGGTCACCAACGGGTGCTTAAAATCATGGGGGACGCAGTTCTATACATAATCTGATGCGTCATGTACTCTGCAAACATGAAAACGTGGAAGTAGGACACTTACCCCCTTAACCAAGCATTAAATCTGGCATTGACAGGGGCAGGGCCACCTGACACATTGGGCTTCCGTGTGATGTAATACTCAGTGCACGACATCATTCAAGAACTCCCACCTCGAAAATGTTTAACCTGAATCTTATCAAGTCTCTAGATCTAACTTCCAGTTCACAAGGAAACAGCAGGGACAGAGGAACACGTCAAATGATATCGTGGAGGAAACAACAGAGTTCAGAACATGGGACATTCTATTTCTGAAAACTGCCTGCGACTCGACAAAAAGTCTCATGGGAGTAGGGGAAGAATTCTGCATGAAGAGACTAAAAACAGCAACAGTTTGCAACTTGACATTATTAACTATAGAATTACTGTCAATCTTCATAGGTACAATGGTGTTGGGATAATGTAGGAAAACAGGCTCACCGTTGGAAAAGGTACATGCTGAGGTGAGGTGACATGTACTTTCCCTCCAATGGCTAACAAAAAAGCCATACACAAAGTGCAGGCATGCAAGAAAGCAGGAGAGAGTTAAGTTTGGCAAACATTAACAACTGTTGAGTCTACTTGGAGGGCGTAATGACTATTCCATGAAGCAATTTAGAGCCTCTTTATAACACTAAGGAGCCCCCTCAAAAGCAGCAATTAATAAAGAAAAAGGAAGTTTCCTAATTTTACCATCTCTTTTATACTAAACAAAGCCATTTAAAGAGGAATTGAAGTTCTGTGAGTCACATTTAAACATGAGACTGGTATTTTGTGCAGTAATCGGGTTGGTGAAATAGCCTTGTGTGCATTTTCTGTGTGTGTGAAAAATGTTCCTAATAAAAAGTTGAAAAATGTAATCGGATGCAGCAAAAGATCAAATCTGAGTTCTTTGGACCTGCAGAAAAATCTCTCAAGTTCATGCACATCCCCCAATTCCTGAATAGAATCAACTCTGAGAATTTGGGCAGAAACAGCTTATTTCATTCTGTCTCTATTTTTGAGTTTCAAACTCAATGTCTACCTTCCCTCTCTCCCTCTGTGGGACGTTTTCTCTTCATCTCTAAAAGACAGGTGTTAATCACTACCTGAGAGTGCTGTGGTCTGAATGTGTCCCCAAAAGTTTACCTGTTGGAAACTTTGACCTCAGTGCAAAAGTAAAGAGGGTTGAGACATTTAAAAGTGATTATGTCCTCATGAGTGGATTAATGTCATTATTGCAGGAGTTTATTTACTGATAAAGGGATGAACTCCTGTCCTCCCACCCCCTCTCCCTCCTGCTCCCTTGCCTGTTGCTTTCCACCATGGGATCATGCAGCAAGAAGGCCCTCACCAGATACCAAGTCTCAGCTTTGGACTTTCCATCCTCCAGAACCGTGAGAAATAAATTTCCGATCTTTATAACTGACCCACTCTCAGGCATTCTTGTTGTAGCAGCACGAAATGGACTAAGTCACAGAGCTACTGTAAAGATTCTGGGAGACACACAGAAAAACAGCTGGCCTGGCATCTCGCCAACACCTGATCCGCATCAGATGGACAAAGAGCAGAGTAATGTGAATGATTAACTCGGAAAAGAACTCACACTTGGATTTGGCATTGCCCCCAGCCCATCCTCCAGCGACACAGAGAATGGCGTCCACCTTGTCTTCACCCAGGAGCTTTCCAACCTCAGCAGTCACCTTGAGCAAGGGAACAAGCAGATGCATGAGCTGTAGGGCAGCCTGAGACAGTCTGTATCCTGACAGTTGTCTTGGTTTCTCTTCCTCTTCATTCTAAGCCAGTTTATAGTGCTGGCTATCAACACAGGACACCAGACAGAAAGACTGACCTCTGAGGGGTGTTTTGAATAGAGAAGCCAATTACATTTCAGTGGGATTTTCATTAAGCAATCTAGAGCCTCCATATAATACTTTAAAAGGTAGGGACAGCTTCCCCCCAAACACAGCAATGAATAAAGAAAAGGAGAACAAGGTTTCTCCCTAGGTTTCATGGCCCACAGCTAACCTTCTGGTGAACTCCTCTCCAGACTTTCTTTGCAAATCACGGAATCATAATCTAAGAAGAAAATCAATTCTACTTGTTCCCAGTTAATAAGCCCTTTAACTGCAACTCACAGAAAATGTTAAAGAAAAATTAAGCACAAGAAAAAAAGACAGTCAAGGCAAAATGTTGGTAAATACTGATTACATGGGGTTCGTTTTAATGATCCACATTTGTTTGAAATTTGAAAGCACAAAAAATATATTCATGGCCTCTTGTTTCAATTTATTAAAAGAACAGTCTGGCGAGACAGGCCACTCTGGCCAGGGACCATGACTCTTCCTGAGTTCTCTAGAATGGCTGAGGTGATGCCTCCCGAGTGCTCATTAACGTCAATCTTCTAAGGATTTACATCAGGACCCAGGGTCTCTCCAGCAACACCTCCGTCTATTACCTCTTCCCAGGCAATTTCGGTGGGCTCAACTGCTCCTTCAATTACCAGTGGAAACCAATCTTCCCTCCCCTACATGCCTCACCTTTCATTTTTCAGAAGTTTCCCAAATCTCCCTTGGCCTCCACCTAACCTGATGCATCTTTTGTTGACCTTCCTCCTGTGGCTCTGAGTTGCCCCTTGGCCCCTCTCTCCTCTCTGAAGCTGTGTCCAGAGCTCAGAGTCCATCTGCCTGCCAGAAGCTGGATCAGCTCCCTGACATCTACACATGCGCATACCCCATACCTAACCCAGCACAGTCTACATTTTAGGGACACATGGAGCCAGCAACCATGACCTGTTTGACTTATTTTCCTTTTTAAAGCATCTACATTTCATGTTTACAATAAAATTTAAATGAGACTGTTTTAAATTCCCTCCACTTAAATTTTGGCTCCGTGCCCAAGAATCTTCTATACCCTTACTGTCTTTTAAATCTTGTCACTAAATTCCTACCCATTGGCCAATTTTACATGTCTCAGGATTGAATTTCTTCTTGTGGAGCTTTAAAACTAAAAACTAACTATCATGCTGTTGATCCATAAATAAATAATTTTAAAAGCTGAGCCACAAAAATTAAGGCATTCCTCAGATGCATTCTATAGTCGAGTTTCAGGTGGGGACAACAGCCACATTCAAAAACCCACAGGGACTTCAGAACCTGCAGATAGCAGGAACTGACTGCAGAGACCCACACCCAAAAGACCCTCTGCCTGCCGAGCCCTGGCACTGCCCTTCCATTTTGTTTTTTAATTACTTTGTTCATATGAAGTAGTTTGCTCTGGGGAAACTCAGCACAGTGGCTAAAAACACAGTCATTAAAATAATCCCATTGCCCAGGTTCAAATTCTGACTATGCCACCTCCTACCTGTTTGACCTTGAGCAAATACCAAAGGTCCTTCTGTGCCTCATTTCCCCATTTCTAAAAGGGAGATAAAATTAGAAACTTTGCTTTGAGGGTATTATGGAGACTAGATGAATTAAAGTAAATAATGCACTTAGAACAGTGCCTAGCAACTAAAGAAGCCAGGTCAACTTTATTATTATACTCATTAAGTTCAATTTTTAACATGTAAGTAGAGCAAACATTAGGACCATATTAAGAAAAATAAGAACAATGAAAACACAGTCCACCATCCATGGGCTACACATCTGATTCAACAAACCTTGGAAAGAAAATTTTCAAAGGGAAAAACTACATCTGTAATAAACATGTATAGACTTTTTTCTTATCATCATAACATATATTAACATAGCACCAGCATTGTATTAGTTCTCATAAGTAGTCTAGAGAGGGTAAAAGTATACAGGAGGCATGTAGATTATTGAAAATGCTATACTACTCTATATAAAGGACTTGAGCATCTGAACATTTTGATATCCACAGAAAGTTCAGGAACCACCTCCCCATAGGTATCAAGAGATGACTATGTTCCACAGTAAGTCATCCGGCTTTTAATTCTATCCTACATCAATCTGATACTCTAGAAAGAGCAAATGAGCTGCAAGTTATGCTCAATTTTATTCTTAAATATTTTAGAATTGCATGTTTGGAGAGATGGATTGGTGGTGAACTTAAAAATACATTAACTACATTGTGAAACTATCGACAATTTCTTCTTTTTGCTTATCTGTATTTTCTGCATCATATACACATCACCTTAGAAATTCTTTAAATTTGTTGTCAAAATGGCCAAAAATCAGAAAACATCCATCAGTGTAAGATCATCAAGGAGAGCACAATTACATGAAAAGGAAAAAGTGGGAGCTGGGGTTGGGGCTCAGTGGTAGAGCACTTGCCTGGCATGTGTGAGGCACTGGGTTCGATTCTCAGCACCGCATATGAACAAATAAAATAAGGTCCATTGACAACTAAAAAATATTAAAAAAAAAAAAAGGAAAAGGTGACCCACTTAGAAGCCACATTAGTGTCAGGACCCATGTCCCTGATTCCACCAGGAACTAGCTTGTTGACCACGGCACTTAGTGTCTGAAACCCAGTGTTCCCAGCAATAACATGATCCTCTCACCTGCCTCATGAATGGTTGTGAAAACACAGTACATCACACAGGATGACCTGGAGATTTCCTGAGGCATGAAGGCTGACCACCAGCATGAGACATTAAACAGAGTCCTCCAGGCGGCTCGAAAGGGCTCCTCCAGAAAGGAAGAGCTGCCTAAGAGCATCTAAGACATTTATACCAAGACATCGCTGCAGTTAACAGTGCTGCCTTTGGGGGAGTAAAGTGAGGAGAAAAGGAAGCATTTTACAGTTTACCTATATATTTATATAACTGTGTTCAGCCTGTTTTATGATATGCATATAGTTTTTTTATTTAAAATATCCTATGTTAACATTCATCCTTTGAACTAGCTAACTTCACATTGTAGAACGTATACCAAAAATCAGCTATGTAGAAAAAGATATTCACCACACCATTCTTGAAAATAATAAGAAACAAAATGAAAATCTGCAAAAAACTGAAGTGTACAATAAATAGAAATAAGTAAACTGTGGCCAATCAACAATATGAAAAAGTGCACATCCCAAAGGTTTTTTTTAAGTGCTGAAGAATTTAAATTACAGAAGAAATTTAAAAGAAAAATTAAAAAGCTGATCCTAGTACAAAAAAAAATACAAAAATACCCCAACTTTCAAAAGTAATACATATGGTTTGCATAGGAAAGACAAGAAAACAGGCCACAATGAGCTACTCAGACATGGATTATATAATTAACTTTGTATTTTATCACTTTGTCCAAATTTTCCTCCATGAGCACAAATGGCTTTCTTTCATAATTATAGAAATAATGATTGTAAAAAAAAAAAGAATACACAATAAGGGGCTTCGTGGCCCATCCCTGGGGATGTTTCTGGAGTTACCTGGGCAGCCTGTTCGGTAAAGGAGTCCGTCATCCTAACAACGACACTAGCACTGGCCTCCTCATTCTCCACCACATCGATGCTGGCAACCCACTAGGGAGAAGAAAATAGTTTTGATTCAGAGACACCACGTTACTCCCTTAAAGATCCACATCCACACCCAGAAATGAGGGGAGACAAAAAAAAGAAAAGAGGCTCACAGGATGAGGATCCCTGATCTAAAATTCTTGTTTCAGATTTTGGAGATTTTCAGATTTTAGAATATTAGCACACACATAATATATCTTGCGATGGCGCAAGTCAAAATATAAACGCACTTACATTTCATATATACCTTACACCCAAAGCCTCTAGGTAATCTTACATAATATATTTAATAATTTTGTACATGCCACAAAGTTTCATGGTGTGGTATTTTTCAGCTGGGGTATCACGCTGGCCCTCAAAAAGTTTTGGATTTGGGAGCATTTCAGATTTTTTGCTGTAAGGATGCTCAACACTTAAATGAAAACCCACTAGAGAAGCAACTGACCTCTCCCAGAAACTTGTGACTTTGGCCCCAGATTTCACCTCCTCCCTGTGCATTTTCACTCCAAACACCTCCCCTCCTTCTCTACACTTCTAGAGACACCAGGAGTCAGCAAATCTTCTGTAAAGGCCAGATAGTAATCACTTCAGGCTTTGCTGGCATATGGTCTCTGTCACAAGCACTCAAATCTGTTATGATAGCAGCAGAACACAGCCGGCTACAGACAACAGGACATGAAGGAGCATGGCTGTGTTCCAATGAATCTTCAGATGCTGAAATATGAATTTCATATAATTTCCACGTCACAAAATTTTGTTCTTATGATTTTTTTTAACCATTTGAAAATGTAAAACCCTTTCTAGTTCTCAGACTATACAACAGCATGTGGCTGACCAGATTCCTCCCGTGGAGGCCAGTAGTTTGGAGGATGCATGTCTATGGCAGAGAGGTTTGGGAGTTGGACAGATCACAGTGGATGCTGGTTCTGCCACTGAGAGGCTTTTTCAGCCTCAAACACCACAGCCATTCCTCATCCACACAAAGTGGGTTATATGACTGACAAGGTTAGCAAAAATTACATGAAATGGAGGATGCTAAGTCTCCAGGCACAGGTGACACAGGGTTCTTACTCAGAAAGCTCCAGGGTCCTTCAGTCTGAAGGCCCCAGAGGTCAGTATCTCTACCTTAAGCTGTGACCACAGAATCATTCAACAACTCTCATTACTTGAACTCCAAAAGCCACGGGGAATACTGAGACAAAAAAGACTCCCTCCCAACCCTCCCTAAGAACCAACAAGGAAAGGGGAAAAAGACAGAGTCAGAGGTAAATTAGTTGGCCAGACTCCAACAGAGGCGGAGGTAAACCAAAGTGCCCCCTGCCAAGTGAAAGCACAACCTTCCCTGTCTTCAACAACAAGACACTAATAGGATCCACCCCACTAAAGTTACAGGGAGGACTAAAGGAAATTAGCAGTCTGGGAGCTCTGATGTGTAGGGGCACAGTGCCTAACCCCCAGCAGACATTCCTTCAACGCTGCCATCTAAACCTCCATCTCTGCAGCCCTAGGAAGACACCCTAACCAGTCTTCCCACGTTCTGAGCAGGTGAGTGACAGGAGAGAAAGGTGTGTTTGGAATCCTTTAGAAGCTTATTCCAAGTTTTGAGAGAGAAGAAAACCCTGGGACCCTCCCTGTGATCCAAGGGGACTCCCTTACCCAGGCTGCTGCCTCTGCTAACTAAAATCACTGGAAAGGTGCCCCACAACTACAGGACAGACTTTTGAGCATGTGGCAGCTGCAGAGAAGACCCATGAGCTGACCAGATGGCTCAAGAGTCCCTGCCCCTCCCACCATTAGCCCTGTTGCACCTGCCACTCTCTGAGACTGGACACTTGATTACAAAAAGTAGTTGAAATATTCTTTGTTAAAAAGCTGGCAGCAGCTGTGGGCTGTCTTCAAATTGGCAGGTCCAAAGGAGCTAAAGGAACAGGGGTGGTAATAGTAACATCAACAATAACTGGCATTTAAATAGCTTTTGGCACGTGTGTCAGATAAGTTACCTGCAACAACATCAATTATCTCATTTACTCTTCAAAACTCCCCCGAGGGGTAAACGCCATCAGTAATCCCATTTTATGTAAGGGGAAACTGAGGTTTGCAGGCGTTAAGTAATCAATTCACGGTCGTGGGCCTAGTAACCAGAGGCAACAGGCAGTCTAATTCTAGAGGCTTCCTTCTACATTCTCTCACCCCGGCTCCTCTTCCTCCCCCTCTGGAACTGCTCTGGACTTTCTGGGCCAGGTGAGAGTCTAGGGGGCAGCCTCACTACCACCTCCTGGCACTGGGGTCTGCATGTCTGCAAGACAGAGACCTGCAGAGTGTGCGCGCACGTGCAGGCACCGGAGTCCCAGGTGCACAGGGGTCCTAGCTTCCCCCTGGCTGCCCTCCGCTGCACAAGCAGCCCTGGGCCCGGTCCCCACAGTGCCCGGCCCGCCACATTACCCAGTTGCGGGCCCGGAAGGCCTGCACGCATTGCGAGCCCAGCGCGCCCCTGCCGCCGTACACCAGCACCCGGCGCGCCTCGCCCGCAGCCGCCGCCATGCCGCTGCTCCCCGCCGGCGCCGCAGCTCCCGAGGCCCGGACTGAGCGCCGCACTGGCAACGCCGCGTAGCCCTCCACCAAAGCAAGCGAGCTCTGCCGCCCCGGACCTGCGCCTGCAGCCACGCCCACATCCACCACGCCTCGGGGGCGGAGACACCGGCAAAGCCCCGCCTTCTGACCGTCTGTCACTCAGGAGGGTCCAGCCCCCGACAGTGGAGCGCCGAGAGCGCGCGTGGCAGCAGGGCGCAGTTGCACGAGGAGCTGGAAATCCTTTGCAAAACAAACCTCCTAAAATACATTATTTATCTAAGTAAGAGTGCGGACTCTGCCTGCCCCACTGTTCGAAAGCTGTGTGGCCTAAGCGACTTCCTTTCTGACTCCATGCCTCAGTTTCCTCGGGAGTGAATTGGGAAGAATATTCTGTCTGTTTCCCCGAGGTTTGGGGAAGGATTGCAAAAGGTAATGCTGTTAGCAAACCCAGGTTCGGAAGCACATCCTCGGAAAAACCAGGATCCATACAGGAGAGGAAGAAAGGAAGGTTTCATCCAGTGGCCGAAGGAAAAAAGAAGGAGCTGTCTTGCTGACAAATCAACTTCTCAACTCTAGAGGGTGGAGGACATGTAGGGTACAAATAATAAGATCGAGAAGCTAACAACGGCGAGGAATATTCACGTCTTTTCTGGGAATAGATGGAGCTCTCCCAGGAACCCAGGGGTCACGGTTTTACGTTCCTTTCATGGTTTAGTGTTTCTGGTCCTGGTGGCAGGTAGCTGTATTTAGCCCTCAAACCGGGATAAAGACTAAGGAGTCCATGTCAAGTAAACCCTATATTATAGTTTTGATCAAAACAGTTCTCAAAATGATCAACATGTCTACATACAGTGCTGAGTGGAATCTGACCCAAAGGCAAAGAAGGTAAGGAAGCAGACAGGTGCCGAGCCTTTTCATCCAGTTCCAGTGCCTGTCCGACTCTGCAGGCCCGAGGGAAGAGTTGTTTTCGGCACCAGTGGCCTTCAGTCTCTGAAGAGTAACCTAAGTAGCTGCTGTCATCATAACCCACAGTCAGAGGTGTCATCTGCAATAAAGCTAGGGGGAAACTATTAATATTTTGTCCAGCCATGCAGTCTGCAAAATTAGTCATTTTCAAGCCAGCTAAGAGAGGTGTCATTTACATTTTTCTCCATGACAATTCTATAGTACTTAGAGGAATATATGGTATAGTTAAGTGGTAGGAGCTCAATAAATGTCAATGCCAGTAAGTGACTCCTGTGTGCTGGTTCATTTTATTCCACCAAACAATCCCATGACCCAGGAGAAAATTTGAACCCAGATCTTCAACAGCCAGGATTTGCTTAAGTACACCTCCAATCAGCACACCATGGGCTCCTTGGGAATCCTGTGTTATCCATAGAAATGATGATCCATTTCCTGGAAATGATTGCTTAATCCCTAAAGCACCAAAAGTTAAGAAGTTCACTATTTAGGGAAAAAAAAAAGTGATACCACATTGGAATATTACTCAGCATTAAAAGAGAATAAAATCATGGCATTTGCAGATAAATGGATGGAGTTGGAGAATATCATGCTAAGCAAAGTAAGTCAATCCCAAAAAAACCAAAGGCCAAATGTTCTCTCTGATAAGTGGATGCTGCTCCATATGGGCCAGTGGAGGAGAGCATGGGGAATATGGAGGAACTTTGATTGGGCAAAGGGGATGGAGAGGAGGGGAGGGGTATGGGGACAGGAAAGAAGGTGGAATGAGATGGACATTATTACCCAAGGTACATGTATGACTGCACATATGGTGTGACACTACATCATGTACAGATAAATGAAAAGTTTGGCTGCAATTGTGTACAATGAATCAAAATGCATTCTGTTGTCATATATACCTAATTAAAATGAATAAATAATTTTTAAGGTATTTATTTTTTAGTTGTAGTTGGACACAATACCTTTATTTCACTTATTTATTTTTAGGTGGTGCTGAGGATCGAACCCAGTTCTCTCACGTGCAAGGCAATTGCTCTACCACTGAGCCACAACCCCAGCCCAATAAATAATTTTTTAAAAGTGATACCAAGGTGTTACACATATCCTGCTTTCTGAAAGCATACTTAATATTAAAATAATAATGTTAGCTAACATTGTGAATCATTTATTAAAGTTCCAAGAAGTCTTCTTTTTGTATTTTTTTTTTTGTTCTTTTTAGTTATACATGACAGTAGAATTATTTTGACAGATTATACATTCATAGAGTACAACTTCCCATTCTTAGGGATGATGTGATATGGAATTACATTTGTCTTGTATTCATACATGATCATAGGAAAGTAATGTCGGATTCATTCTACTGTTTTTCCTATTTCCATTCCCTTCCCTTCCCCTCATTCCCCTTTGTCTAATACGATGAACTTCTATTCTATCTTCCCACCCCACCCCCTACTTCTTATTGTGAGTTAGCATCGCACATCAGAGAGAATATTTGGCCTTTGGTTTTTGGGTATTGGCTTATTTCACTTAGTGTGATATTCTCCATTTCCAACCATTTACCAGCAAATGCCATAATTTCATTTTCTCTTTATGGCTGAGTAATATTCCATTGTCAAGCAGTATTCTTAAACCTTTTTTATGTACTATATCATTTATTACCAGAAACATGTTTGTTATTTCAAGGTCATTGTGATGTAGATGAGCTGTTGTATTTCAAAGACCTGAATTACAATCCCAGTGCTCACTACCAGTTTGCCCATGATAGAAATGACTAAAACAGCATACCTCTCCTCCCTAACACAAAGGGTTATTGGAGCTTCAGAGATGATGGAACGTGTGGTAAAGCCACATGCAAGCTTCTGAAATGTTCTTCTTTACATTCATTGTAGAGCAGCCACTGATGTGAGTCCCCAATACGAAGAAGCAAGCTGTTACTTCTATAGCACATCCCTCTGCCACCCCCTCACTCCACGGGTGAGATTCCTAAGACTACTGCACCTTCCTGAGACCCCTCCAGGTTTTTGTGACCAAATAAGAAAATCTGCTGTGCCATTTATGCCCAATTTTGTTCCCTGAGGTATTGACAGAGTGGCTGTTGCCAGTCACATGTGACATTAAGGTGACATTCACAGTACCATAAAAGTCAAAATTTTAAAAGCAACAGAAGACAGGAAGTAAATAATAATTCATTCCTAGTGTCTACAGGTTAAAAGAAAAAGAGAGATCTTCATTTTTAAAAGATATAAATACCCCAGCAGTATAACCACTACTTGCTGACATATTAAACACACACACACTTCTCTGTCACATTTCAGATGACATGGAACATGGAGGAAGGGGAGAGGAATGTGAAGTATCAGGGTCCACAAATAGATTCATGTTGCAATTTTACCCTTTTCAGTTTCACCCAGGGATAAATCTGTAACGCCCCAATTTACACATTTTAGTTGAAGCCTCAAGAAACCGGTCGTTTGCTGGTGTTTTTAACGGCTCTGGGGATCTGACAGCAGTGACATTTTAGAGAAAGAAATGCCAGGGCACACATCAAAGAGATCGACATTTGATACCGTGCCCTGTTGGCAACGGGCAAGTGCTCATTCTTCCATTTTTGTTTTTCTTCTACCATATGCATTTTTTGAGACTGGCGAGCATCTCTTCATGGTCAAGTCTGCCTGGTTTTGCTGGTTATTAACTTCTCCCGTCACTAGGAGGTCCAAACGAGGGTTGTTTAAATACTTGAACGGAGGAACAATTAAACCCTGTGCTGAAATACTAGTCTGGTGGAGAGATAGGGTTACTCCCCTCAGTAACACACTCCACTGCGCGAGGAAGACGATCTGCATGTGGTTGTAACAGCACGGGCTGTGGAGGCCGGCACTGAGGGAGGACGAAGGGATGGACTCAAAATCTTGAAATGGTGTCCAGAAGATGTCAACAACCTCAGCTGTCACCGGGATGAGCTGCACCCTCCAGCATGCCTGGATGGTTCAAAAAGGCATGGTACGGGCTGGCCTCTTTCCTCAGCTTCTCCTCCTTCCTGCTGATCATCGTCGCCCTGGCGGTGCCCCACTGGCTGAGTGGGAAAATCCTGTGTCAGACTGGAGTGGATCTGGTCAACGCCACGGATCCAGAGCTCGTCAAATTCATTGGGGACATTTACTACGGGCTCTTCCGAGGGTGTAAGGTGCGGCAGTGTGGTCTCGGGGGCCGCCGGTCCCAGTTCACCAGTGAGTATATTGGGGGCATAAAAACTGACTTAGATGCTTATTATTTCTTTTCATTTGCGAGGGTGCTCATGTGTGCATGTGGAATTTGACTGATGTCTCAGTCTCGGGGGTAATGTCAAAGCCTGCAGTGCGCCAGAAGTTTCATTCAGTACCAGAAAGAGACTCGCTTTCTTCCTTTAAAAAAAAAAAAAAAATAGAGGCATAGAGAAACATTACAAATAGGAATTTGCATATTTTTGTAGTTTATCTCTACTAATAATGCTAATTAATTTTTTAATATTCAATATTAAAATATTGGGTCGAAAACATGGGTCAAACATTCCATCAAAGGCTTCGCCTGGCTTGTCTTTTTTAAGCCTTACAACCAACTTATAAAGAAAGAATCATTAATATGTCCATTCTGCAAAGGAGTATTCTGAGGCTTGGAGAGTTACATACCTGGCCTGAGGTCATTCAGCCAGGAAACAGCAGAACCAGGGGCCAGAAGCATGTCACATGACTCTGGTGCCCTCGACAATTACTTGCGGGTGTAGACCATCTGCAGAAATGAGCCTTCAGGAAATGTGGCAACTGCTCCCACGTCTGTGTATATCAAAGCTTCCCAGCCTCAGAAAAAAGCAAGGGGCCTCTGCACATGGATTATGGGATCAGACTCACCGGGGTTTGTGGCACAGTGGCTGTTTACTGGTGGGGACACCCAGGCAGGGTGCTTGACGGCTCAAGGGAACGTGAGCAGATGCTGGCACTGGCCTGAGTTCAGCCTGGGATCAGAGCCACCCAGGATGTCAACAAAGCAGTCCTCTAAGTCATGAAGCCAGGAATCTAATCTGGCTTAAGAACCGTCCTCCAGGAAGGAAAACCAAAAAAAGACAATATTATATAAACCTTTAGAATCCAAAAATTAGATTGCAGATGAGAATGGCGGCCCACAAAACCATCACTAATCAGCCCTGTGCTGATGCATGAGCACCAGGAATTTTATTTAGTGCAGGATTGTCACAGTGTTTAGAAACCTGGCCAGGGCATATATTCTCCCTGTGTAAAGAGGAAAGGCTGCGACACTGACAAATGTAATACAAATTGCCATCCTTTATATACACGAAGAAAAGACATGTTTCTTATGTTTAGTTAGGAAACATCTCTGAGCATATTTTTATTTACTCAGCAATTAAATTGGACCCGCATATGGGAAAAAGAGACCCATTAAAAATATAACCTAAAACCAGATAGGGCAGTGCACACCTATAATCCCAGCTACTTGACAGACTGAGGCAGGAGAATTGCAAGTTCAAGGCCAGCCTTGGCAACTTAGTGAGACCCACTCTCTAAATAAAATAAAAATGGCTGTGGACATCGCTCAGTGATAGAGCACTTGCCTAGTATGCTCAAGACCCTGGATTCGACCCCAGTATTAATGAATCGTAACCTAAAAGGTTTACAGATACAAAGAAATTAGAATAAAGGAAGTGTTAAAAAGGGACCATGAAAATGTTATGCCGTACTTGATTCTGAACTGCATCCCCTGGCTGCAAAGGATGCCATTGGGACCATCAGTGAAACTGGAATAGATGTGTTCAACTAGGCATCATGTGCCATTGGGGTCTTAAAGATAAGACCCCGCCGTTCCGGGCCACAGAGATTCAAACTGCCTCAGGTACAAGCCATAGTGCTCATTTATGAGCACTTGCTGTTTGCTCTCTGGAGGAACTCAAATCAATGTTCCCTTCCGTGCTACCTCTTCCTTCTCAGAGAGACAGACACCCTTGGGCCTCAGGCCTCTGGGTTCCTCTAACAGGGTCTGGTCCCTAGGGCATCCAAACTGAGTGAGATGCACAAGGGATGCTATTTATCTCTAGCTGTGAGTATCATGAGTATCGTAGCTACTGAGAATGTCTGGTTTCCTGCTGCCCCCGGGCCTCCCAGAGGAGGGAGCTTTCAAGGTTGGAAGTGATTCTCTTTGAAATCTTTCACGGGAGCCTGGGGCAGGCTCCTCCTGTGATTAGCTGACTTTACCTCTGCACTTCAGGGACACTGCGTACATTATCATGTCCTCTAGCGCAAATCTAGTTTCCTTTAGATTTACAGCCCTTTATTCCAGCACAATGTAGCCCTGAGGCAGCTGCGGGGTGTATCAGACTCTCCCACCTCTGACTTGAAGTCAGGATTTACCAACCTCTGCCACTTAATGTTGATCTGTGGAAAAATATCCCTGTTTACAAGGCCTTGCACAGATCAGGGAAGAGGAGTCTGTGAAAGCGCTCTGTAAACTGTGATCAGGGAGTTTTTACTGAGTCTCATTTACAAACAGTGTCCTTTCTCACCATCACAGAGGTCTCCCAGGGACCGCCGAAGAGAAACACTTCCCCATCCATCACAGGGAAAACCCAATTACTATTCATCACAAAAGGTTAAGGTCTTCTTTTATACCTAGACCTTCTGAAACCAAAACAAGTTAACCTGTTCTTGGGTGGCTAGGGAAAGAAAGAGAGAAACATTAACAGTGTCCACACATTCAACTGTGTTAAGGATTTCCAGACCAGATGCTGTTAGGAAGCCAGGGACAAGTCAATCGGACAAGTTCTTCCCCTCCAGGATCTGGACAAGTGCCCCCCCTCCAGGACCTCGCAGAGGAAGTGTGAACAAGGCACAGGGCACCCTGGGATCTCAAGCTTTTTTCTGAGATTCATTTCCTTCCATCTTGGTGCACTAGAAGAAAGACTTTAGCATGCTCATTTTGTGAAGAAAATTAATTGAGGATCAAAGAAATCAATACATGAAATAATTTCTGTAAAAGCACTTAACATAATAGGTGTGCTGTGGTTTTTAGTTCTTGGGTTACCTCCCTTCTTCCTACCCCTGAAGTGTTTCTCCAGCAGCCAAGACCTGCTTATTTGCCTTTCTGGGACTAAATAGGCTGTCACACTTCACTGGGATCAGGAGCAGACAAATTATCTAAGCTTCAGGTACTGATAGAATGATTAATTGATTCTGGCATTCAAGCGAGCCAACTCTAATATGTACAAAATAAGAACATTTATTCCAATGCAAAATAAAACCTCTCGAATTCAAGCTACGCTATTATTAACATTGTCAACCTTTATTTATCCAAGTTTCCTGACTTTTCAGTGATGAGCTCTACAGCAGAATAATTTAGGCAGCCCTTGCTGGCTGTGTGTGTGCCCTTGGCAAAGCTACTTAACTTCCTTGAGCTTCAATTTCCTCATCTGTAAGAGTGAGAGAGAGGGTAGCCATGCACAGTAAAAAGAAAATGTGTATTCAGTGCCTGCACCGTTTGCACCTGATCGAGGTAGCTGTTGTCATTTATGACTGTGGATCTTCTGTGTTTATGTCACGCATTGCAGGCTGGAAAGTTAAATTTCAGAGATACCCAAAACTCTTAGAAATGGGACAGACATGAAGGCAAGTGAGCAGCAGCTTTCGGGGGGCAGCACTTGTGACAGGAACACAGGTCAAGTCACCCTCAAAGACGGATGGAAAGAACAGATGCCCTGAAACTCCAGAGGAGAGACTCATTTTCCACCTAGTGACACATGGAAAATAAGTAAGCTTTCAAGACACCGGGACATCTGAGCCCAGGCATGTGGCCCGTGAATGTGGGCATTAGATGAGATTCACCCTTTGCCAATGAAGAACTGTTTTTAAATATAATTAATACACTTCCTACGATGGAGGCCCAAGTTTAGGCTCTCTCCCTCCCTCTCCCCATCCCTCCATATGTCCAAAATCCCCTCTCTCATCATCTAATATGCTTACTTCTCAGTATTTTAGTAAATTAATATGGATATGGGCTGGGATCATCGTGTGTATGATTAGCTGTTTTTTTTAAGCTTTATTGCATGGTTGTTCCTTAATTTATTAAATCAGTCTCCCGTGGATTCACACGTTGGTTTCTCTCCCGTCTTTTGCTGTTGTGATGAACATCCTACCTACGCTGCTTTAAGCACCTGTAGAAATGTGCCTGGAAAATAGATTCCTGGAAGTGAAATTGTTTTAACAGATGCTGCCAAATTGCCCTCTTACCGGGTTGGAAAATCAACATCCCTACAGCATTTGAGAGTACGGAGAACTAGCAAATATTTTATACGTGGCCATCTCACAGATGACTCTTCTCTGTGGGAAGGATTCGGTGAGGACTGATTACTAAGCAGGTCGTGTATCCTAAGGATTGCATGATCAAGAAAGGGGACAACAGAACAATTAGGTAATCAAGTGTGAGCGACCATTTTAGGAACAAAAAGAGCCTGAGGAGTTGAAAGGGTGAAAAAATAAAATCTAAAGGAAGGCAGGTGGAGGGAAGGAAGATGCCTTAGAAAGACGAACTCCCTGAAAGGAGCTCAGCTTCCCAGGTCGAGTTTCCCAGGTCAGTGAGATAACAATATACGGAAACACAAAACGGAAAGAAAGTTCAATCAGAACTAAGGGCACAAGCAAGGAGTACAGACCCTGCAGGTAGAAAGGACGTCGTCCTAAGGAGAGCACAAAGCCTTGGTTCTCAGGCTTGGCTAATGGCAGCCTTGGTGAATAAGGGGAGGCAGGCAGCCAGCAAGGGTGGAAGGAGTGAGAGTAGAACCAGGAAGGCCTTGGGTCTTGGCCCCTGAAGGGATGGGGCTGGGGAGGGCTGGCCAGTTGAATCAGAGGCTCCCCGCTGGGCCCAGGGTCCCCCAGGAGGTACTCAGCTGAAACCCTGGAGTGGTTGCAGAGAAATTGGCATGCTCAGGAGTCCTTTCATTGTCCTTTATAATTAGGAAAAACTGACTTGGATTTCTTTATATCATATGGTACTCAGTCTAAAACCCTGTGTAGACTTTAGAGACACATTGCCCCAAGACAAGAACCTTCGTGTCTCTGAGCCTGTGGGTAAAGGACTTGGTAAGATGATCCTCATTTCATTACCACGAGGACTGAATGAGGTGATGGGTACAAAACGCTCAGCCCGTGACTTTGCTCAGCCAAAGCTGATCACCCTCAGCTCATAGGCAATCATCACTCTCTATTGTACTGATGAAGAGACTGAGGTTCTGAGAGGCCACGTGACCCTCCCAAGTCAGAGGGTAAAACTGACAACAGCGCCCACTGCTGCCATTGTTGGGAAGCTGTCCTCCCAGGCAACCTTTGAAGAGCTCCTAGTGGTAAGTACTGGTGGCACATAGACAGGAAACAAATAGAAAGGAATCTCTCACTAAACCATCCTGCCACACTTGTACAGAGAATTCATATTTTCATAAAATATTGTGCAACGCAAGGATTCAGTGTCCTTGTCTTTGGGGGCAATGAGATCCACCTGGCCCTAGAGTGGGCTCATGTGCCTCAGGGCACAGCAGGTCTCAGAGCTGCAAGGTCAGGGATGTTGTGGTCACTCCAAGGAAGAGAAGATTGCTGGTCACCTGACAACTGGGGACTTGGGGGGCCAGGGTTTCACCCAGGAAGCCCCCTGTTCTGGAAAACCCAGCGCGTGCTCTCTTCTCGGTCAAAGCCAGGTGGGAGGCAGCTTGGGCTTTCTGAAAGGCACCAAGCTCCGACTGAAATACCAGCTGTGTCCTCTCCCCCCCAGTCTTCCCGCACCTGGTGAAGGAGCTCAACACGGGCCTCCACGTGACAATTCTGCTGCTCCTCTTCCTGGCCTTGGCCCTGGCTCTGGTCAGCATGGGCTTTGCTGTCCTCAACATGGTCCAGGTCCCCTACCGGGCGGTCAACGGCCCTGGAGGCATCTGCCTGTGGAATGTCCTGGCAGGTAAGATGTCCCGTGGGGATAGAAATTCAGGTCCACACCATCACCAGGCGGGCTCCACACGGCTGGGCAAAAAGAGTGGAGGAATTTAAATGTCCACCTTCAACCTTCAGCTGTCACTCGGTGGCCAGGAAATGCCCTCTTTACTAAAAGACCCCGAGGCTTTCAAAATAAAGAACCGTGTTGTTAGAATAGTCTTCACTTAGAGCAGTGAGGAGAGGTCAGGGTGAAGGGGAAGAGCTGGGGACAGGAGAGGTGGGCATGGTGAGGGGTCAGAAGGTGGCCACCGCTGCAGCTGGACCTGCAAGGAGCCAGCACAAATGACAGCAGAGAGGGCCACGGGAGCCCCAGAGCCATCTGTGAAAGGCTGTTCCTTCCAGGTTCCAGGCAGAGAAAGGAGCAGTAAGTGCCAGTGTCCAGGGCACCCGCCCCCAGGACACCCCCCTCCCCTCCTCAGACACCTTCTCTGTTCCACGCCATGATGCTAGATGCCAATCGCGGAGCGTCCACTAAGTGCCAGGCATGGGCCTGGGGATTTCCCATACCTTATTTAAGTCTCAGAATCCCTACGAGGAGGTTTGTCAGACCCGTATTTACCAATGAAGAGTCAGAGAAGTTAGAAGGTCACACAGCGATGAGTAGGAGGAGTGGCGTTGCAACCCAAGATGACTGATTCTAAGTCCTTTGACTTTTCGTTGATCAATGGTCTTATTCCCAAACCAAAAACTTTTCCAAAACAACAGCGTGTGTGTTTGTGGGAGTGTGTGTGAATCTATTGATCCACAGAAATTGATCCACACTTAATTATGCCCTTAACAAATCATCTGCAATGAAAGTAACAAAGTCCCTCAAAACAAGGGCTAATAAAACCATTATGGCAATAACCCCTCACCACCTTTACTTAAGACAAAGAGACCATCAAGTATAATGTGTTATTTTATCATATATTATAATGTAGTATCAAGAATCAATTATTAGGGCTGGGGATATAGCTCAGTTGGTACAGTGCTTGATTCACACGTACAAGGCCCTGGGTTCAGTCCCCAGCACCACAAAAAAAAAAAAAAAAGAAATCAGTTATTTTGTATTTTCCTATCCTTCAGATGCTGACTCCCTGTAGAATTGTCTATGCACGTGCTTACCCACGTCTAGACCTAAGGTATCCTGTTCCTCTCTGTATGCACCCTCAGAGTGGCTGGCATATAAAAAGTTCTCAATCCTGCTTAGTAAGTAAATGATTATCTCTGTCAATTTCCCTCCTCAAAGAGACGGGACTCTCAAAATCTACTGATGAGAGTATAAAAAGCAAGCAGTTGGGCAAAACTGTAGTGTCCAATGCCATAAAAACATGAATAGCCTGTGAACAACTCCACATGGGGTTTTGTGCTGAGGAAATAACAGAACAAGAGCACAAGATGTACATAAAATGATGTTTACTGCAACAACTTATAATATCAAAACTGGAAGCCATCTAGATTTCCAGAAATAAGGTCATGCTTAAACAATTTAAAGTGTGTGTCCAGAATAAAATACTCTGCATCTATTTCAAAATTGTGCTGCGACAGGACATTTAACAATATGGAAAAATGTTCAAGTGAAGAGAAAAAATTCAATTTTAAAATCCAAGTAAGAGCACCATAATACCAATTGTATGAAAGGGAAAGAAACGTGGCCAAATATACTAATGTGTTCAAAGTGTTATATTTATTTATTTAGTTAGTTAGTTTTCGGCGGACACAACATCTTTGTTTGTATGTGGTGCTGAGGATTGAACCCGGGCCGCACGCATGCCAGGCGAGCGCGCTACCGCTTGAGCCGCATCCCCAGCCCTCAAAGTGTTTATTCCTGGCTTTTAGGATAAAAGTAAATCTGTGTTTTCCATGACGACAGATGTCACTGGTGTCCAGATTCTCTCCTTGGTGAGGATGTAATAACCTCATAAAAGCATAATAAATGCTTTTTTGAAAATATTAATTTAAATCAGAACAGGGAAGGAGATATGCCCAGTGGGAGACAGAGAGGAAAAGACAGAGACCCAAGAACATCAAAGTTTCAAGCAAGTGATAAGGAGGTAAATGAGGTTGGGAATCCTGGATTTTTTCCCTCCCGACTTTCCCCCTTCTACGGCCTTCAGCAGCTGAGAACCTAACAGTTCAGACCCAGGTGAAACCCACCTGCAGAATCACCTCCCCAGCTCCTCCCACCAGCCCTCAGCTCCACACAGAAATCCAGATGTTCAGAGTCCGAACTTCTCCAGATGTGATCCCTGAGAAAGAATGGTGCTGGGAAAGAGGGGGGTTGGAGGGACCAGGATTCAAAGTCGATCCAACACAAAGCTTATGCTCCTTCTCACATGGGCCACCTGTCACCTTCAGCTGGGTGGGTTTGCTGCCGCTTTGTTAAAACAAATTAAAATTTGTCTTGTGTTTTAGACCCAAAGCAAGTTTGTTACCCACGGCACAGAAATGCCACTTCACACAGAGTCCTTAGGACTGCGAGGAGCAGTGGTGACTGATGACTCAGGGCGGGTTTTGGGTTTCAGGTGGAGTGGTGGCCTTGGCCATCGCCAGCTTCATGGCTGCCGCGAGATTTCACCACCTGACCGAGCGAGTCGCCAACTTCCAGGAGAAGCTCTTCCAGTTCGTCGTGGTGGAGGAGCGGTACGAAGAGTCCTTCTGGATCTGCGTGGCCAGTGCGTCAGCCCATGCGGCCAACTTGGTTGTGGTGGCCATCAGTCAGATTCCCCTCCCCGAGATCAAGACCAAAATCGAAGAGGCCACAGTCACTGCTGAGGACATCTTGTACTGACGGCCCCCTCCTGCTCACGCCCTTCCTAAATCGTTCCCCCAGTGGGAGGGGGACCTCAGGTTTTGCAGTCTTCCCTTACGGTAGTGTCCCTGTTCTTGGTGGTAGGAAGGGTGTGGAAGGGGCAAGCTGGAGGGGAGGGCTCTGGTTCTGGGAAGTAAGGCTTCCCGGCAGTGTTTCCCCCAAACACTGAGTCTCTCTCAGGCCTCTGGAGTTGGGCTTGGAGACTTGGCCACTTGCCGTCTGTGTGTGACATTGGACAATTCACTCAGTGTCTATTTTTCAATTTCCTCATCTGTAAAACTTCATAAGTTTGTTATGAGTTTTATATGAGTGTTGGTGTTGGGGGCAGAGCACTCTAGAAATCCAGGGTACCATATACTCCAGTAAGTGTCCATAGACCCTTGGTCCATCCCACACAGTATTTAGGGGGTGTCTGAAGAAGAATATAATAATAACGTCCTGGTCTTTGAGAAACACCTATTCTTCCTACATGACAGTAATTAGCAATAATAACACTAAGAATGAAAATTACCATTTTTTGAGTGGCTACTACGTATTGGACACTGTTCTCAGAATTTTTGCACACATTAACTTGTTAGATCCTCTGCAAACTCAGGTGGTAGGTGCTATTGTAGCCCATTTGACAGATAAAAGAACTAAGATGTGGAGAAGCTGGGTGACTTGTTGAGGTCAGGATTAAGTCCAGGAGGCCTGGAGGGAGGATCTGTACTTTTAACCACTTTACTAACCTGTTGTGGATATAGGAGCAATCGCAATGCACTATGATAAGTGCTGAAATCAGACAGGTGTAAAGGACCCAGGAAGGAATTAGAGCTTCAGCAAGGCATGTGGCATGAAGAAAGTGTCACAGAGCCAACATCTGATCTGTACTGTGAAAGATGAGTGGACTGCTTCCAGTGATAAAGAAGCAAGGTTGGCGAGGGGCATTGCAGCGTGCGTCAGTACAGAGGATCCGAGGCCCAGGCATGAAATTCCAAGAAGGGCACTCAGGCACGTGAATGCTCAGTGGGATGAGAACGCTCCTCTAATTGGAGAAACCCGGTTGCTTTGTGTTGGGCTTTCCTAAGTAATGCTGTGATGGTTGATTTCATGTGTCCACTTGGCCAGGACATGGTCCCTGGATATTTGGTCAGACACTATCATCGATATTTTTCTGAAGATATCTTCTGATGAGATTCACATTTAAATCTTACCTTCCATAATGTGGGTGAGCCTCATCCAATCAGTAGAAGGCCTTAATGGAAGAAAGCCTGACCTCCCGGTGGGGCGGGGAAGACTCTGCTAGCACACTACCTTGGCACTTGAACCGTAACTCTTCCCCAAGTCCCCAGCCTATCTGCACACCCTGCAGATTCTGGACTTACCAGCTTCCACAACCATTGAACCAACTCCTAACCACCACCCCTTTTCCCTCTCTTTCCCCATTTCTCCCTCCACCCATCCCTCTCTCCCTGTCCAGTTCCTTGGTATCTTCTAGGGATTAATTCTAAGACCTCTGTCAGATACCGAAATGCATGGATGATCAAATCCCCTGTATAAAATGGCATAGTATCTGCATGTAACCTATACAATCCTCTTATGTAAAAATCATTTCTTGATCACTGGTAAAAAATGCATAAAGCAATGTAAATGCTATGTAAATACTTGTTATATTGTTAAGAGAATCATGACAAGAAAAAAATAGACCTGTTCATGTTAATTATCCTAGGCCTAACCATATTATTGATCCTCAGTTGGTTGAATCTGTGTATGCAGAACATGGACAGAAAGGGCCACCTGCATACACACACACACACACACACACACACACACACACACACACCCACCCATCCTATATGGCTCCATTTCTCTGGAGAACCCTAGCTAATACAAGTACCCAACTCTCCCATTGTTCTGTGACACCAACTGGGTCCAGTCCTTTCCCAGGCCCCCTATCTTCATGCCAAGTAAATGTCACCTAACCCTTGCCTCCACATAACCAATCTAAAAGGACACCTGATTTGGTGGCTTCAGGAAGTTTCCTTAGCACCTCTCTGTGCTAAATGCTTATAATTCCCCGCTGGGCCCATCTGCCCCTGTCCCAGCACAGCTTCAGTATTTTTTGTGGACCAATTCAGATGGCATGTGGCTAGAAGGAAGTTAATGTGATGGGAGAGAGATCCAAAGGATAGCAACAGCCACCATGCTGCCTGAAAACACGAAGAAATGTCAGCATCATATCTAGTTGAACACAAAGTCCAGCTGATGGGTTTAAAAAAATATAAGTACACAAGAATCTGACAATAGTTTACATTCTAAGGATCTAAGGATCTTGGCACATTTATTCCTTCAACAAGTGTTGACACAATTCACAAGAGCTAAACTGTGGAACCAGCCTAGATGCCCTTCAATGGGTGAATGGATAAAAAAATGGTGGCATATATACACAATGGAATATTACTCAGCAATAAAAGAGAATAAAATCATGGCATTTGCAGGTAAATGGATGGAGTTAGAGAAGATCATGCTAAATGAAGTTAGCCAATCCCAAAAAACCAAATGCTGAATGTTTTCTGTGATATAAGGAGGCTGATTCAGAGTGGGATAGGGAGGGGGAGCATGGGAGGAATAGACGAACTCTAGATAGGGCAGAGGGGTGGGAGGGGAAGGGAGGGGACATGGGGTTAGAAATGATGGTGGAATGTGATGATCATTATTATCCAAAGTACAGGTATGAAGACACAAATTGGTGTGAATATACGATGTATATAATCAAAGATATGAAAAATTGTGCTCTAGGGGCTGGGGTTGTGGCTCAGTGATAAAGTGCATGTGAGGCCCTGGGTTTGATTCTCAGCACCACATTAAAAAAAATAAAGGTATTGACAATTACAACTAAAAAATAAATATTAA